GGGCAGATAATTGTGCATCTGCCTATTTCGTGTATCATTGTTCTTTGTAATGGAAAAATGTGAATTTTCAAATGCAAGCTCTTACACTCTTACTTTTCATATAGTAGCTGATATTTTTTGGATTTGACATCAGTGCCTTGATTCTTATTGGTTGCCTCCATACTTTCTAAATCAGTGCTCTTTAGACTCATGGATGCTCATGAAAGAGTTATAAGCAAAGTGAGGGCAATTGCATTGATGCTGAAATAATTGTACTCATCTGCAAGTTGCTCTAGAACAATGTCATTTCTGGACTATATATATATATATATATATATATATATATAAGTAGAACAATTACAGGAGCTATTGCTTATAATGTGTTGTTGGGCGTTGCAGCTACCTTGTTTGCTCCATGTACGAAGAAGCGGCTTCATTAGCTTCTTCTATTTTGAAGTGCTTGCGTGATGATTATAATGATGCTCCTCAAGATATGTTGAAATAAATTGCTATAGTGCTCATTCAAGCATTCAAGGAACTTGGTAGGTAATTTTCTTTTTTCTTAAAAACTAATTTAAAAATTGAATATAATAATCATGAATGTGTGGGTTATCTTCTGCAGGACACCATAAATTCTTAATCAACTAAGACTTCATTTCCTTTTAGTAAAAGCTATTCCCGCCAGAGTTCTTCTTACTGGGTATGCTATGCTTAGCTCCACTCTTATTGCATATGTTATGTTTAATTTTCACTATATATAATTTTTATAAGTTAAATTATAGTTATATTTTTTTATATATTTCTTATTTTCTTCAACCAGATCTTATAGATGCCTTATGCAAGCAATCCACAGACTTAGATGAATGGTATGCACCTAATTTAAGTTCCAAAATTCCTGTTCTTATTGCTCTTATTAAGTTAATTTAATTGTCTTGTGCTGGTATGTATTTTTTAGGCATCCCTTTTCTATTACATCAGATCCCGGAGATGACTGATTGAACTCTTTTAGAGTTTCGTCACATTGGCAACTTCTCAAAATATATATATATATATATATATATATATATATATATATATATATATATATATATATATATATATATTAAATCAACATACTGATTAGAAACCTCTGCTCACAAAGCTTAAGAACAATATTCTCACCCACAAACAATCTCATTCTTTGATTTCAATTGCACCACATATGCAGAATGAGCAGTAAGTTTCCGATCTTCTCAAGCGCGCCACTCTACTTCCTTCTAAAGGTATTCATGCCTCACCAACTTGCTTCTTTTTGTTTTTTATTATCTATTAGCTTTGAATTTTCGAATTGCTTATTTTATTATAATATTTACAACACATATATAAGAATAAGATGAAACCTATTTAGGATATGAGAGATGGCTCCCAACTCCTTCAAAATTGGTGAAGCGTGGATCAATGTTAATGCTGATTGATAACTTGGCATATATTGGTGATTGCATATGTAAGGTCTGTATCTTTAGCAGTTTATTTGCTCCAAATTTAAAATAAAGTGTGAAGGAGAATGAATGTAAATGAAAATGCAATTTATCCATTGTTATCATACTATTTTTTACTGTTAAGAGTTGGAAGTAAATGAAAATAAAAAGGAAGGTGAGGATGAAGGGTCTGTATCTTTCATTAAATGTGTGTCTCTATATATGGATTACTGTTTCAGTTATCTAATACTTGGATTGAAGGCAAGAACATAAATGATATAGCATTTAATCATCGGGCCATGGGAAGTGGGCCAAAGATTCTTATGTAATTATTGGGCATTGAATAATAAACAAATGGCCTCCGATTCGTGCACATTCGCAAAAGGGTTAAAATCTTAATAAGACTAAATAATTGTTGGCCTATGTATTTTTAATTATTATTTTTTGGTAGTTATGTATTTTTAATTTTTATCCCACTCCTTTGTTGCTATTATTGGAGGCTCATATATTCGAACTTCAGTTCCATTAGGTTCCGAAATTTGGATAAAGGAGATGATAGATCACAATCGTGATGTGACCAACGTGTCAATCTTATTGTTAATTCATTAGCAGACAATATGTGAGTTTTGTTTTATTTCATTTATTTATTCATTTAACTAAATGATATAGTATCTAAAGGTACAATAGATTGTTTCAGTTATTCAATGCCCATTTGTTATACTTGTAATGCAATTACTTTGAAGTACAATGATTGGAGTTATTTCTAATTGTTTTCTTTATCATTACCTATTGTTTTAGAGTCTCACTCGAATCTTCCAATTGAGGCATTACATTGGATGTATTTATTTTGTGCCTGCACCTGGGTTTGAAGCTTATGGGGATTCCACTAGTTACCCTAGCAATTCTACTAACAAAGTCAGCAACAGGGATCCAATTGATGTGGAACCTGTGATGTTACAAAGGCTCGGTTACCAGGACCTGAAATTAACTTGAAGGCTTCTTCACATGCTTTTTTTGCATTTTGTCTTTTAATTAATTATATTTATATTTATTTTCTATTGCTTACTAATTTATTGTTTAATGGTTTACTTTTGAATAGGTGGGCCTGAAGGTTTATGCTTCTCCTCTTAACAGAATTAATTCTTTTAAGGTTTGTTCATAATTTATCTAAAAAATAAAAGATAGACATTGAAAAGTTATGTGACATTTTAGCATATCTTATTTAATTTTTTTTTATACAGGTATGAATTGGTGATGAGCCCTTTTAAAAGGATAAGATGTATACAACAACAATTCTTGGAAGACAGATTTAAAAAATGTGTTGTTATATTTTGTTTAGTTGAACAATGAAGTTAATATTTTGTATAGATGTCTTGTGACAATCACAAACTTATAGTTTTAGCTTTATTTGGCAATTATTTCTCTTAAATGATGTAAGTGGAAAACTTGATTAGCTCCGTTTGTTGGTAAAGAAAACTCCTTCAGCTTATATGAAATGGAAAAAAATATGAATTTTGAGAAATTGTGTAAAAAACATTATTTACTTATATGAATAGAAAAAAAATATAATGTGTTAAATTGTGTACTCCACTTTATTTGATTATTTCTCTTAATTTGGTTTTTGGTTCTTATATCAAATGCAATTTTTATTATTTGCTTTTTATATGATTGGAAAAATTTGTAATATTTTTTATTTTTTTAAAAAAATTCCTTACAATTAGCCACGGTTCTGACTGTGGCTAAATAAAACTTTTCATCATTGGGATCCAAATCGTTTAGGCACGACTATAATGTGGCTAATATAACATAAACCGTGGCTAACTCAATGTTACCACACTCATAAAGACCGTGCTTAAATGCAAAAAAAATACCGTGGTTAAAAAAATGCAACGCCAGTTTTAGCCACGGTTTTTAAAACAGTGGACAACTCATCTAGCCACGGTTTTAATGATATTTTGCTACGTTTTTTGCCGTGGCTAAAGAGAAATTTTGTTGTAGTGATATTTTAAGGTTATTAATAATTGATTTAATGTAATTATTTTGTAATGTATACAAATGGTACAGTACGATTAAGTTTTCATCGTTTCCTTGTGTATATGATCAAACTCCCAAACTTTTATATCAATTTTTAAAGATATTTCAAAGTAAAATGGGTTTTTTTATTTTTTTTAATTCAAATAAAATAATGACAATTTTATATTTATTTTATTTTTAAATAAATTTCGATTGCGAATTTTGTGGCAACTCTTCCGAGATGGTCATTACAATTTTATTTTTATTTTTTATTTTTGCAAAATTACAACTCCTTTTTGTAGTCCCCTCATTATTTATTTTTTATCCTTTCAACTAATTCATTAAGATGATAGTTTAACTTAAAAACACAATAGCAGAAACAATATTATATAAGCAGAAAAATGAGCTTTGAGTGTAAGTTTGTAAACACTCGGTCCCGTTTGGATGAGCATCTAAAAAAAATATTTTTTATAACTTGCTTATTTTAAAAGTATTTTTCATAAAAGTTAAAGCTATTTAGATTTTTAAAAAAATATTTAACTTTTGAAAAAAAATATTTGACTCTTAACTTTTATTTTTTTTAGAAACTAAAATTTTTAGCTTAAAAAAAAATAAGTTTTTGATTTTTTTGTGATTTTTGCTTTTTTTTTTTCTAAAAAAAAACAGACTTTGAAAAAGATTTTTTTTTTTTTTTTTTTTAAAAAAATTCATCCAAATGGACCCTACATCTTTCATCATTTGGAGCTTGTTTGATAGAAATATGTTCCAAGATCATTATGGTTTTTCTACCAAATGACACCGGAAGAAATATTCTTTTTTCTTCTTTTCTCTCTCCTCATTCTCTTCTATTAGCTCCTTCATCCCAACGAATCCAAGATGCTTCAGGAGCACTAAGCACAATCTCTTGTTTGACACTTCATGTCTTAGTATATTCAATTCCTAACTTTTATTAAAATAATTTGTTGTTTATTTTTAATGAATGCTTAGTCCATATAACGTAGCGTATTAAGCATTCATCTTTAAAGGACGAAAACCTTAAAGAGTTAAGAATATAAGACTATAAAGACATGGATTTGGATATTATGTTGTGAAAAAATGATCATGTGATCATATTATTTGATCACAATTATTCATTAATAATGAAATAAGAGAGAAAAAATGTATAATTTTTAAATAAGTAATTGTAATCAAATAATATGATCACTTTTTCATATGAGAAGATCTAAATCCCTCTACCAAAAAAAAATGAAAATTTATCGTAAATCTAAACATAATAAATTGTTTTATTTACATTTCAATTAAATTTTAAGTGTACCTATATCTTGATCAGTAATTGCTGAAAGTATAACATGTTTATGAAAACAAAGGAATCTTCCTAATTTGCTAGATACATAATTAAATTGAGAAATAAAACAATTTAGTACTTGAGAAAAATATAAATACACTCAACAACCTCATCTCTTGCATTTAATACATTCAACAACTTCTACATACTAACTTCACCTCATCTAGCCTTTGTTTCCAATCCCCTTCCCTTTCTCCCCTGTCATATCAGATTTTAGATTAGAACACCAACAACTCAAAAAAAAGCATAGAGGGATGAACACGTACCCATCTTTCTCATAATTTTATTTGAATTTGTTTTCATTCTCAAAATTCTTCAAAATTCACTATGTCTTCTATCCAAATAGCCTCTGTTAGCAAGTTTCGTTACCAAAGGCTTAGGCATGTAAGTGGGTCAGAAGATCAAAGGGACAAGGTGATTCTGAGACCAAAGAACTGGTTCAGGTTCAGGTTTAGGTTTAGAAGGATTCCTATTAGGAGAAGGTTCAGGCTGAAAATCCCAAGCTTGAGAAGACTTTGGAGGAAAAAAGCAAGGTTGGTGTCTTCCCTCAGAATTTCATATGCTAAGGTTATGAAAAGATTCAAAGATGGACAAGTTCATTTTGGAGATCTTTTTGCTGGGAACTACTTGTTCATGCAAGTCAATCCTTCTTCATTTAAGTACCTTGAAAAGGAGTTTTCTCTTTCCAAAATTGCTTAGTGTGTTTATCTTATTTTGGTATGCACACCCTTCATAGTTCATTTAAGTGGTTATGCCAAGCACCTAGGTCTTGTTTTCTCATTATCCTCTTAAATTTCCTTGTTTACTAATAATGCATGTGTAGAGATCTGTTTTCAACATTGAGAAAAATGTTGGATTTGGTTTAAGCAAAATTATTTATATTGAGATTTACATATATATCTTTTTCCTCTTCAAATCTACTCCTTATGCTAGTGGCTCTATTGATAACATCAAATTTTGTCAACTCAAAATGTTTGCCTTGTGTTAATGGTCTTTTGTTGATAGATCATTTATAAGCATACCGTTACCTCTTCCTTGAAACTTATTATAATTTTGGAACGCGGCAAATTTCCTTTTTCCAAAAGTATTTATTTAATTTATTTATTTGGATACATTCTTAAAGTTAGTATTACTCGTTCTGAACCTGATTGCAGAAGGGATCTAGTTGAGAAAAGAAAGAAAAATAACTTCATAATAAGATCTGACAATATTTGTTAGACTAATGATAATTACCAAGTATTATACCACCAAATAGATGGATAAATTAGTACAAATCAGTGATCTTACATTTAAAAATTTAGTAGGAAAAGTCATGTTGTCCTTATATTTTTTTCGGTTCGACTGGATTAATCGATTAAACATGTGGAGAAATTAAAAATAAAAATAAAAAAATACACCAATATGTTAGCAAAAAAACTAGTTAATGTAATATTTTACAAATTGTGGATTAATAAGTGAAATATTTTCTCTTCCATTATTATTTTGTATATAAATTGGGAAATGAAGAAGATTATTTAGTTGAAATTACAAAAAAAAATAAAGAAATTGATGGTAGAATATTTGATAATGAGTTTTTGTTAGATATTATCGATTTATCGATTATGCCTATTTGAGTCAGATAGCACCACCACGTATGCGGTAAAGTTTTTCCCATCAAATTTAATTGCATTTCCAAAGACTTAAAATGGAGATCATTGGTTAAGCTCTAATTAGGGATATAAATGAGTTAGATGGCCTAACAGAAGCCTATGGTTCAATCTATATTAGATCAGATTTAGTCTATTATATATAATAAAATAAAACAGACCTAGACTTTTAAGAAAAATTATTTAGAAAGCAGATCATAAACTTTTTTTTTGTGATAAACTATCATAGGCTTTCTTTTATATCAGGTCTGTAAGCCTACAGATCGGTCTATATTATTTTATTTATTTTAAATAAAATAAATAAAATTATTATTTTAATTATTTTAAATAATAAAATAATATTATTTAATTACATTTTTAATTATTAAATGGCTAATAAGTTTAAATAGGTTAAGAGGCTAAGTTCAAAGCTTTTGTTTTTAAATATAGGTCAATTCATATTTATAATTTAGATCTACACTAATTAATAAACCAAACCAAATCTAAAATATTTTATATAAATTTACGAGAAGGATATTGTAACAATCAATTAGTGCTACTAGCAATGTTACTACCAATCAATTTCACCGTTAGATCGATTATATTGATCCAACTATTATATTTATTTTCACCTTTGTATGGTTATGATTTCCCATATTTAATGCTTTCACATTAAATATGGGGAATCATAACCATACAAAGATGAAAATAAATATAATCGTTGGATCAACGTAATCGATCTAACGGTAAAATTGATTGGTAGTAACATTAATTGTGTTAGGTCCTAGAAGACCGTATTGCTATGCCGTATGGTATGCACTTAGAGATACCCTAGAGATAGGTACCTTGGTTGGCTTATAGTCAGTATCTCAATCACTGCGCACAAGCAATAGACTTTTAGCCAAGATGTGGGTGTGTGCACAGTGTTGGCAGTAATAGTCATTAGGTCAAAAAGTGTGTACATGAGATCTTTAGCCTCTTATTTATAAGGGTTAACTCTAGGGTTTGAGTAGATCTCCCAGTTACAGTAGGATTCAACTTCCTTTCTGTTGAGATAAGAACTCTATCTTGAGTAGCTTTGTTATTTGATTTTGTTAGAGTAATTAAGTATTTATCCTTTAGTGGATTCCTAGGTAGTTAGTTAGGATATGATATATATCCATAACAGTTGCCCCCCAGCTCGGTATTCCGAAGCTCGGAATGCCGGGGTGCTGAAGTAGTATCTCAGACTCTGTCTGGTCGAGTTCATTTATTTGGGAATTTGGCTCCTCCATGGTTATGTTGATTCGGGTGTGAATCCGACATTAAAGATATCGGTTGGGTTATGGACCCGGCATGGAAAGTTTTTCCTTTCTCTATTTCTGTCGAGGTCGTGTTTGTCGTATTTGGCCGTGATGTAGATCTCGGACATCATGTCACGGATAAAGCCGTGTCTGGCCCTTGTCTTATCAACGTGACCCTTCGTTTATCACTGACGATTAAGAGCTCCACGTGTCTCATGCCCATTGAAGGATCGTGCGTCGTGGACAGTGCGCCGTCCTGAACCCATCTGGGTCATGATTGTGCATATTGAATGCGTGGGGAAGGTGATTTTACTTCCTTGCCCTTAATTTCTTAACCGTTTGCAACCCTTTCGTATTCGCGCCAGAGTTAAATTTTTGCTTTAAATTCTCCATCTCGCTTCACTTGCAGGGTTTCATTTCGCTTTCATTTCTGGTGTTTCTTTTGTGTCTCCTAACTTCTCCGTCATTTGCAAAGATCAGTGGAAGTTTCTCAGTTTGTCTGGTTTTTCTTCATTTCTTGAAACAGGTATTTTCTCTCCTCCTTTCTCTTTTTGCCATTAGTTTGAGTAGTGTTGTAAATCTTTTCAGTATTTCTCTACTGGGGAAGGACTTTGGTTTACGTCCCTTCATTGCATTTCCCTGAGTATTTTAAAGTTTCTCTCTGCTGGGGCTGACTATGGATGCCCCTAGTCCATCTTCTGGCTCGTCTGTTGGGCGAAGTGATGGAAGGTAGATTAACGAAGAAATGGTGAAACAATTACCTCGGTCAGTTCAATATTAGTTCTATGGTAAGGAATACACCGAGGAGGAGAAGCTTCAACAACTTCTTCGGGGCCACCAGAGGTCGCCGGAGTTCCCGAGGTGGACGCGGCAGGAGAGGAAAAGGTCGGAGAGGAGGAGGGGAACGTCAGTCTCAACTTAATTTTGGTAGAGATGGACCTCCTCCGGTCTCGAATCCCGTAGTTCCTCTTTTGTCGAGCTCCCTACATGATCCAGTTCCCCTGTCTTACATTTTGCCCTCATCTCAGGTTTCTCAGGTCCGAGATCCATTCTAGATCGGATCCCTCCCCTTGAGCTCAGTGATAGTTCTTCTTCATCTGAATTAGGATTTTTGAGGTCTAAAGCCCCTTTTACCATATTCAGTGATTCGACTTCAAGTCAAGTGCCACTTATTGATCTTGTCAGTAGTTCTGACAGTTCCATCTGTTTTTCTTGGAGTCCATGCTCATTGCAATCCGAGCCTGGTAGTCTGAGGTCAGATTTGGTTGATTTTTATAATGACCCTCGTCCTTCGTGTTCCAGGACTGTAGTTATGGAGGAATCTGACGTCCAGAATTAGGTTCTTCTTGAAATTCTCAACATGCGGTCTGTCATGTCTCCTACCAAGGTATCCCAACTTCCTGTTGGAGACCCTACTGGGGTTGATATTCTCCCAGCGGGTGATAACCCGGTATGCGCGGGTCCTGATGAGGATGAACTCATTTATTTTATTTTTACCGAGATTTAATTACCAAGGTGGGACTTCGGTTCCCCCTTTCTGACTTTTAAATTGTCGTGATCTGCCGACTTCGGATTGCTCCCTCGCAACTTCATCCCAACTCATGGGCTTTCATCCGAGGTTTTGAACAAGTGTGTGTATATCTCTGCCTTCCATGCTCAGTTTGTTTATTCTTCTTTTTATTCGATGTATATACAGCTCGGACTGGGGCCGAGGTTAAGGAAAGAAAGGGTTGGGTTACCATTCAAGGTGCTCCAAATCGGGATATTTTTATTCCCTACTCCCAATCCTTCAAAGGTTTTAAGGATGCCTACTTTAAAGTGGCAGCTTGTTCTGATTCTCTCCCCTGGTTCGCCGAGGAATGGCTGGACAATGGGGATTTTCCATGTCGGTTTGAGCTTTACTGGACGCAGAATCATTACCAAAGGCGTCCTAAAGATTATGCTACTCCAGAGGTAGCTCTTTTCGATCCGGAAAGAATGGCGGCTTCCTTCCTGATTGGTTATGCCAAAGAATTTGGCGTGATCGATTTAAGTCAGATTGTAGATAAGTTTGGAGATGATCTTCTTTGTGAGCTCGGTACGTGGTTCTTCTTGTGATGTTCTTTTTAATTTCTCTCATAACTTGCCTTTTAACCTTTGGCTTCTTTTTGCAGTTAGTATGACGAGCTCTGATTACAAGAAATTCATGTTGAAGCCCAAAACGACTTCCTCTAAGGGAAAGGCCAGAGAGGATTCCTCCCTCGAGGTCGAGACCTCGAAGAAACGACGATTTGACGTCGTAACCAGCGGCAGTTCTGCCATGGGCGAAGGGGTGATTTCAACTGAGGTTTCTGTTTCTCTTTTCACTCCTCCGATATCTCCACCTCCACCTCCTCCTAATGCTCCTCAAGGGGAGATAGTTGTCTTGGAACCTGGGGAGCTGTGGAAAGTCAGAGTTTCAGATCGTCTCAGAGCTGCTCTGAAGCCCTCTCAGCAACTTATGGGTGGTTCGCCATTGACTTCCGACCTTAGGTCAATGCTAGTTCGGCTAGAGGAAGATGCTTTGAAGACAGCTTCCTTGCTCCAATCCTTTCAAGACCTTCATCAAAGGCTCAACCTGTTAACTGCTTCCAATTCTTCTCTCATCATTAAGGTGGAAGAACTTTTGGGGAAGCATGATGAGCTCAGTGACACGTGCTGTCGAACTCACGCAAATTAAAAATTATTTTTTAATTAGGGTTCAGAAAATTTGCAGTAAAGTGAAAACCCTAAGTCGTCTCTCAAGGAAATTGTTTGGGTAAAAATCGTTTTTGAAAACAGAAAATAAAAAGGGGGTTTTAGATTTTGGTTGAATAATTAAAAGACAGAATATAAAAATTGGGATTAAAAGCTCGTGATTAAAAATTAACCAACCTAAGGTTAGGGTTCCTAGGATGTCCTTCCTTGGATAAAAATTATCAAATTCGTGATTAACCTCAATTGAATCAGAATCCTTATTTTCAATTGAGAACAATCTGATCATCAAATCTGATGATAATTCTTTTCCCATAATCGCAATTGCGAACCTCAGATCGAATATCCACAATCGCACGATATCGATCTGAGTTAGGGTAAAGAAACGAATTTGATTAGAGAGTGATCGAGAATTCGCTAGACAGATCCATGGAATCCCTTCCCCTTAGGTTGATTAAAGGGGTTTTAGCCTAGCATGGCTAGGATAAACATGATTAAAAATTAAAATAAATGAAAAGAAGAAGAGAAAAAGACGAAGAACGCGAAGAACGCAAAGAACGCTTCAGAGAAAATGTTTTGATCCTCAAATTCAAAAATTACAGGATGAATAAAAGTTTCTTACTCTGCCGTCATATATCCCTACCCAAATCGGGTTGGGGCTCAGTTCTGATCGGCCCATCTATAATACGAAATAAAATAAAACTAAAACTTGGCTTTGGGCCACTTAAGTAATTGGGTTCTAATTTAAATTACAAGTCCAATAATAAAATAAAATTTCAGCAAAAGGCCTCCAACTTGGCGTCAGAAATCGACCAGCTTCCAGTCCGAATTGGGCTTTGAGCTCCGCATAAGAATTGTAGCCCTCTGTGTTATGTCAAAAACCCAACAAGAACGGAGTCAATCCGACAACTGTGGACCGAGATATGGCTAGAATATAGAAGTAACGTGAAGCTGAAAAATTCTGACGAAAATAAATTAAACCCAATCAAAACCTAAAAATCTAAATTAACTCAAAACATCATTATTTTATTCAAATAAATTCTAAAAATACTAATCAAGAGTAACAAATAAGTGCAATAAAATATGAGTTATCAAATTCTCCCACACTTATTTTTTTGCACTCCTGGGCAGAAACTAGAATAGAAAAAGAAAGCAAAGAAATAAGAAAAGAGTGAAGATCAACCTATCATTCCTAATAATTAGCAAGTATACAAAAGATAACAAAAATCACAAGTCTTGAACAGATAAACCAACCAGGACAAAAATTCCTTAATCTCAAATCACAAGACCTGTCAATTTCAACTGCAACTGCAAACTACACAAAAATGGTTCCTCGCATGATGCTCTCAATCTTCTCTCAAATGTATCAGTTAATTCAGCATATCACTCAAATCAACTCAAGAAAATCATCCTACCATAGGCTTGCTCAAGTTCTACTTCTCCACTGCTAATAACACATGCATGCACAAATCAAGAGGGCTTTATGTAGGGTTGTAATGGGGCTGAGGTAAAGGTATGGATGAATATGGAAGAGAAAGCTAAACACCCCAGAAATTTACAAAGAGCAAAAGTTAAGAACTAAACTAAAAATAAAATAAATATAAAGAATAACAAAACCTTTTTTCTCTCTCTTTTTTTAAACAATAATACAGACAAAATATCCAGATGATTACCCCCCACACTTAGACTTTGCACGTCTCGGAAAAACCCCCACACTTAAGCAAAACACTACAGTAAAACCAATGCTCAATAAATCTCCAGGATGTGGAATTAATTGGTTTTTCACTTACGCTTGTAATGTGGTTAAGAAACAAGGGTTACATAAGGCACAAAAGGGCTAACCAAGGGAATACAATGTAAGGATGGCTATTTGGCTAAAGTGGGAAAGAAAAGAAAGAATGCCCCAATCATATTCATGCATGCAAGTGAGAAATGCAGTTTCAAAAAGAACAAGAGCAAGTTCTAGAGGATAATAATCAAGAGCAGAATCTCACAAGAAAGAAAAACTGGCCTACAAATGAAGACCATGTCTATAGGCTCAAAACCTCACAAGGGTATACCAAATCATGCAATCACCAGCACAGTATCAAGCAGCAAGTAATGCAATCCAAGAATCAAGAACCAAGCCTAAGCAGAAATTTCTATCAAACCCTGTGATTCAAGTACAATCCATGTATAACACACTAATCATGAGAGAACAAGAAAATCAATCAATTCTATCTTTTTTTCTTTCTTTTTTTAAATCCAAACATGAAAAATAAAACTACTAAAGGAAGTGAACTCCCTGTCCTCCTTAAGGAGGGTAAGCAACATCAAGCAGCCGAAGCTATGCATCCATCTGTGTCTCTACAAACTGCTGTTGTGCTCCTTCATAAAAGGGCTTCAAATGATGCCCATTCACAGAGAAAGTGTTTCCAGTCTGCTTATCACTTAATTCAACTGCACCATAAGGAAAAATATCAGTAATAACAAAGGGCCATCCCATCTTGATCGAAGTTTACCAGGCATGAACTTAAGACGGGAATTGAATAACAGCACATTCTGGCCCACTACAAATTCTTTCCTCAGGATCTGCTTGTCATGGAATGCCTTTGTCTTTTCCTTGTATATACGTGAGCTCTCATAGGCATCCAAACGAAGCTCCTCTAACTCTTGCAGCTGTAGTTTCCTTTCTCCCCCTGGCTGGATTAGGTCCATGTTACACTGTTTCACAGCCCAATATGCCCGATGCTCCAGCTCCACTGGTAAGTGACATGCCTTACCATAAACAAGCCGGTAAGGGGACATCCCAATCGGAGTCTTATAGGCATTCATGTATGCCCACAAAGCATCTTTCAACCTCTTGCTCCAATCCTTCCTATTAGCATTGACAGTCTTCTGAAGGATTTACTTAACTTCTCTGTTTGAAACTTCAGCTTGGCCATTTGTCTGTGGATGGTATGTTGTAGCTACTTTGTGGAGGACTCCATATTTTTTCAGTAAGGCATCCATGCTCTTATTGCAAAAATGCGAGCCCTGGTCACTGATAATAGCTCGAGGAATGCGAAACCTGCAGAAAATATAAGAACAGACAAAATCTACAACAACAGCAGAATCATCAGTTCGAGTGGCTTTCGCCTCAACCCACTTAGAAACATAATCCACAGCTAAGATAATGTAAGCAAAACCAAAGGAAACAGGAAAGGGACCCATAAAATCAATACCCCAAACATCAAAAACCTCACAGAAAAGTATAGGGTGTTGGGGCATCTCATGTCTACGGGAAATGCTACCTGCTCACTGACAATTATTACAAGACTTACAAAACTCATAAGCATCATGAAATAGAAAAGGCCAGAACAAACCAGCATCTAGAACCTTCCTAGCAGTTCTTTGTGGTCGAAAATTACCACCACAGGCAGATGCATGACAAAAATTCAAAAAGAAAGAGTCTCACTATCAGGCACACATCTCCTAACCACTTGGTCACTACAAAATCTCCACAAATAAGGATCATCCCAAACATAGTATTTAGACTCACTTTTCAATTTCAAGAGCTGAGCCCTAGTGGAGTCAACAGGTAAGACACCAGCAATCAAGTAATTAACTAAATCAGCAAACCAAGGGAACTTACCTTACAGCTGTAGAAGCTGCTCATCAGGGAAATCATTCCCAATAGGTATAGGATCAGATGGAAGAGAGGTGATGCGGCTAAGATGATCAACAACTTGTTTTTTCGCTCCACTTCTATCCTTAATCTCAATATCAAATTCTTGGAGCAGCAACATCCACCGAATGAGTCTAGGCTTAGCATCTACTTTCTTTAAAAGAAATTTCAAAGCTGCATGGTCAGAGAAAACAATAACCTTGGTATCTAATAGATGACCGAAACTATCAAGAACAAATGCTATAGCCAAGAGTTCTTTTTCAGTGGTCGTATAGTTAGATTGAGCAGAATCCAATGTCCTGGATGCATATGCAATGACATGTGGGGCCTTGTTGACCCACTGAGCAAGAAAAACTCCAACAACATAATTGGATGCGTCGCACATCAACTCAAATGGAAGAGACCAATCAGGTGCACAGATCACAGGAGCTATGGTTAGGCAGCGCTTCAGATGATCAAACGCTGCCTTGCATGCATCACCAAACTCAAAGTCAATGTCTTTCTGAGGAGGTTGGAAAGTGGAAGAGCAATATTGCTAAAATCCTAAATGAAGCACATGTAAAAACCTGCATGGCCAAGAAAAGAACGAACTTCCCGCACATAAGCGGGGTAAGGCAAAGCAGTAATAACATCAATTTTAGTAGGATCCACTTCAATACCCTTTTTAGAGACAACATGTCCTAAAACTATCCCTGACTCAACCATGAAATGACATTTTCCAAAATTCAACACAAGATTGGTTTGAATGCATTTGTTCAAAATTCTACCCAGATTACCCAAACATGCATCAAAAGAATAGCCATAGACACTAAAATCATCAATAAAGACTTCCATGCAATCCTCTAACAACTCAGAAAAGATGCTTACCATGCAACGCTGAAAAGTACCTGGTGCGTTGCAAAGTCCAAAGGGCATCCGCCTGTATGCATATGTGCCAAAGGGGCATGTGAAGATCGTCTTCTCCTGATCCTCAGGTGTAATGTGGATCTGAAAGTAGCCTGAGTATCCATCCAAAAAATAGTAGTGGGATTTACCAGCCAACCGCTCCAACATCTGATCAATAAATGAAAGAGGATAGTGGTCCTTGCGGGTTGCCTGGTTGAGCCTACGGTAGTCTATACAGACTCTTCAACTGTTTTGAGCTCTTGTTGTAATCAGCTCATTATTCTGGTTGGCAATCACAGTGACTCCCGACTTCTTAGGGACCACCTGAATAGGGCTAATCCACTGGCTATCAGAGATGGGGTAAATCATTCCAGCTTGCAAGAGTTTTGTTACTTCCTTCTTCACCACATCTAGAATCAGTGGGTTCAAACGCCTTTGGGGTTGTCTCACTGGTTTAGCTCCTTCTTCAAGTAGAATACGGTGCATGCATGTAGAAAGACTAATGCCAATGATGTTAGCCATTGTCCACCCAATTGCCCTCTTATTTGCTTTCAGCAAGGTTAACAATTTATCCTCCTGCTCAGGTAGAAGGTTCATTGCCACAATGACTGGTAGCTGCTCATTCTCCTCAAGGAATGCATATTTTAAATGGTCAGGCAGAACCTTCAACTCCAATTTCGGAGGCTGCTCAATGGATGGAAGATATGTAGTTGGTGGTGCAAGTTCTGCAGAAAACAAGTTAGCAGCTGTGCCTGTAAACAAATTCTCAGAAAAAGAATTAGGATCATCAATAATATCAGCAGACAATTCAAACAATGCAGAATCACAATAAGAATCAGAATCAAAATCTTGTTCATCAATCAATGCATCATTAAAACCAGAAAGTATGATGCTATTTCAGCACACACAATGCACTCTTGAATATCACCACAACCACAGAAATCAGAATCACGAGTAGATGAAAAATCAGCAAAATCAGCAATGAATTCAGCAGAAACATCATCAACAACTTCATCTATCACATCAATGCAGAAAACAGAATGCTCCTCCCTAGGATGTTTCATGGCAACAAATATATTAAAATGCACAATGCTATCACCAAACTCCATGGAAAGAGTACCAGCAAGAACATCTATCTTGGTCTTAGCTGTTCTCATAAAAGGCCTACCAAGTATATTTGGTGATCTATTAGTAGCAATCTCACTCTCGATTTCTAAAATGTAGAAGTCAACAGGAAAAATCAGATTATTGACTCTGACTAATACATCCTCAATCAAACCAGATGGGCGAATACTACTCCAATTAGCTAATGTAACCACAATACTAGTAGCACACAAATGACCAAGACCAAGAGACTTATACACAGATGCAGGCATAACATTAATGGAAGCTCCTAAGTCTAGCATGCAATCATGAAAAACAGAATTGCCAATCACACAAGGAATAGTAAATGTCCCTGGATCTTGACACTTTTTAGGCATGGGCTGGATGAGTGCTGATACATTCTGACTCAGGCTAACTCGCTCATCTCCTTTCAGTCTTCTCTTGTTGGTGCACAGCTCCTTTAAAAACTTGGCATATCTCGGAATCTGCTGTATTGCATCCAGAAGAGGGATGTTCACCTCAACCTTTCGGAAGGTGTCAAGTATCTCTTTATCTTGAGCATTTGTTGATTGCTTCTTGGACTGAGTGGCTCTTTGAGGGAATGGCAGAGGGATATGGACATCAGATGTATCAGTGCTCTGCTTCTTGGAACTAGTGTCACCTCCCTTAGATGACTCAGCAGCAACTTGGTTTGGCTCTTCCACTTGCTTTCCAAACCGCAGAGAAATAACACTCACATTTCAGCTTCCTTTTGGATTTGGAATTGTCTGGGATGGAAGGGAGCTGCCACTTGCTTGTTGATTCTGATTCAATGATGTTGCAAGTAGGCCAATCTGTGTTTGCAGATTCTGCATGGAAGACTCAGTCCTCTACTGGAACTGCGGATTATTAGTTGCCATCTGTTTGACTAAATCCTCCAAAGATGGACCATTGGTATTGGCTTGCTGCTGCATTGGTGGCTGCTGCATTTGTTGCTGCTGCATTTGCTGTGAAGGTGCAGATTGTTGGAAATTATGCCTCTGCTGTGAGGGTACAAACTGCTACCTCTGCTGGAATGGTGCACTTTGCTGATTCTGGCTCCACTTGAGATTTGGATGATTTTTCCAGCCAGGATTATATATATTAGAGAAGGGATTATTTTACTGCTGCTGCTGGTACTGTGGCTTTCCAAGAAAAACTGCAGCAACAGACTGATCAACTTGGAAACCACTGTCTTGAAAGGAAGGACAAGCATCTGTGGGGTGAGAAAGATCACAGCAGATGCCACACAGGTTGCTTGTCTGTCGAGCAGAAGGTTGCACTGTCTGTGTCACTGCCAACTGCCTCACCATTGATGTCAACTCATCAAGCCTGTTCTCTATTTTCTGGTTATCTGTGCTTGATGCTCCTGCTGCTGCCACTATTGGATTTTGCGTTGGAGAAGTTTGCACTTGGAAAACTGAACTGTTGTTTGCTCTAGTGCCAAATTGTTGAGCATTGGCTGTTATCTCAGCAATCAACTCTTTTGCCACAACAAGTGTTTTATTGCTCAGGACTCCTCCACTAGCTGCATCTAATAGATTCCTATCCATAGGCAGCAACCCTTCATAGAAGTAAACAATCAGGAGATTTTCTGGAATCTGATGGTGTGGACAGCTTGCACAAAGCCATTTAAACCGCTCCCAATACTCATGTATGTTCTCCCTATTAGCCTGCTTTATGCCACTGATATCCTTTCTGATTGTGGTGGCTCTGGATGAAGGGAAGAATTTCTTCAGAAACAATCTTGACATATCATTCCATCTTGCAATGGAGGAAGGTGGCAAGTAGTACAGCCAGTCCTTAGCTCCACTGTCTAAAGAGAAGGGAAAGGCACGCAGCTTGATTTGCTCCTCATCCACCCCTGGTGGCTTCATAGTGCTGCAAACTACATGGAACTCCTTCAGATGTTTGTGAGGATCCTCACCTGCAAGACCATGAAATTTAGGAAGCAAGTGTATCAGTCCAGACTTAAGCTCAAAAGGTACATCAGGGTTAGCATAACGAATACACAGAGGCTGCTCATTATTAGCATCAGGTGCAACCAATTGCTTAAGAGTCCTATTATCCATGGTCGCAGAATCAAATTAATTACCAAAAGAATAAACACTATGTAAAGGGCTCGAACAAACAGACTCAACAGACTCAGATTCTAAGATAT